CATGTTGGTTGACAATATTTTAAACAATAACAGGGTTTCTGCAATGTGTGACTGAGACTTTGGAAATCTTAAACTTTGAGAACTATAAACTAAAAATAATTTGAGATTGTGGAAATAGATTACAAGTGATGAATTAGAATAATATTTATCTTCTATTTGACTTTTCTTTGGTGTATTTCAATTTTCATGTACATTATCTCCAAATAGCAGTTTTTTACGAGAGACATTTCCTTACTAATAAAGAATAGACTCAATGTGGAATTATGAATGTGTCAAGATTCTGTATGAGAAAAGCAAACAACCAGTGCAAAAACAAACAATCAAATGTTTTTATTTTGGTTTGAAACAACAACAATACTTGCTGAAATACTCTACAATGATTCTTCGTAGTAAAAACTGTTCATTTGTCTCTATCTGTTAATGTTCAGAACACAACGTTACTATCTACAGGAGTTAACATAAGAGTTCCATTTGCTTAGAAAATTGCAAGTTTTATTAGTGTATTATAAAAAAAACCTCTCTTCACAAGCTAAATCTTTAAACTATATAACAATAATACAATTTGTCCTATATAACAATTCAATCTCCGAATACATAACAAATACTGATAAATTAAGCAACAAAAGAATATTTACGAGATTCAATATTACAACTATTACTTAAAATTTGAAAGAGACATAAAAACAAACAAGATATCAGTCCCTAGTTTTGTTGAAAATGTATTGCATATCAAATATCGACCCCTTATTATTAATCAAATGTTTAAAATATTAATAATAATAAGAACAGACACAAATAAGCAGAACAAAAATCCCCTTAATCTGTTCACAATTTGTCGACTTTGTACTTTTAAGTTTTCTGTAAGGCAGCACCAAAAAAATACATTTATTTACTTTTACAGAAGACACTGATAACTTCATTAAGTATGAGCAGGATTTATAACAAATAACAGTAGTTCTTCTAATAATAAACATTCTTATCAAACTTAGATTCAAATAATCAAAGAAACTAATTTATTTTAACCATTTCCACAAGTAAGAAAAATATATACATGAATCCCACTATTAGAAAAATAAATCTTTTAAAACTACACCAAAAGATTAGATACAAAAAACACAAAGTAAAGTCAAAAGATATGAAATCATCATCATATATTGGCCACACAAGATGTATTTAAGTTACATAATGCTAACTGGAGTATCTAGCAAGCAAATAACTCGGATAAACTTAAATCATCACTAACTAATTTTGTTGTCAGTCATGATTAGGAGCCAAACTAAATAAATGAAAAATTGGTTTCTTCCAGACCCATAAAACAATTCTATATTAGTGTAAGTGACACAAAAAGTTAATTTGACATTAATTATTAGATATAATGCACATAAAAGTAACATATTACAATTTTTCAATCATCACAATATTCTAAGACAACATAATTATGGCAGACATTAAAAGAATAACTGACACCATGAGTAGGAATCTTCTGATCACTAAATATGTAAGTGGCCAATCACCAACGAAATAGTTAATAATCTTTGTTTGAAGACTACAAATCACAAATCCTAAAATATTGCTCTATTCGCTTTGAGTTGTTACAAACTTAGATAAAAATTAGTTTTACATGCTCTAACTGTGGCATATCAATTGTTGATTTTCATTCTCTGAGCGAGGTGTATAAAATTAGGTACTTATTAGTTTACTTGCTCTAACTGAGGTGATAAAAGTTAGGTACTTATTAGTTTACTTGCTCTAACTGAGGTGATAAAAGTTAGGTACTTATTAGTTTACTTGCTCTAACTGAGGTGATAAAAGTTAGGTACTTATTAGTTTACTTGCTCTAACTGAGGTGATAAAAGTTAGGTACTTATTAATTTACTTGCTCTAACTGAGGTGATAAAAGTTAGGTAAAAATTGCTTCTCTTGTTCATATTGAGATGTAAAGAATTAAGTAAAAAATTAAAAATTGTTGCTCAATTTGCTCTAACTGAAATGCAAACAAATAGATATGTGCATAAACTGTTTTCAAATTTGTTCTATAAAGTTTTCAATATTTATGAAATGAAAGCTCAACTGTTAGAGATACATAACTATATTTAACAGGAAGATTGAAAACAAGAATTTAAACCCACTGAAAGAATAAACGTGGTAACAGTAAAAAGGCCATAACAGTAACCATGGTGACAGTAAAAAGGCCATAACAGTAACCATGGTGACAGTAAAAAGGCCATAACAGTAACCGTGGTGACAGTAAAAAAGGCCATAACAGTAACCATGGTGACAGTAAAAAAGGCCATAACAGTAAATATGATGACAGTAGAAAGGCCACAATAAAGAATTTTACAAAAGTATATTTTTAATCAAAATAACTTATTTAATATTTCATTCCTCTTACACATACATTACAAAATATAGTTATAATCTCAAATTTTAATACTAATTCATTTCTCTAAGGCACCAAGTTCATTAAAGATACATAATTAACACACTAAGAAAATTTAAAAGAATAACATTTTTCTGCTTAACAAAAATAGCCACAAAAATTATTTACTTATTTACACTTCTAAGGTAAATTACCTTGTAATTCAATTTTATTATTTTCACTTAATAATTAAATGCCAAAGGAAATATAACCATTAAAAATTGTGAAACAGCTGAGACAACATTGTTAACAACAACAAATGTACTTTTTTAACACACATGAATAATCTCAAAGCATTTTGATTTTCTCATTTTAATAAAATGGTTAAAATTAACTATCTAATACAAGTCCATAAAACTTATTGACACTTCAAAATATTTAATTTCACCATAATTAGCTAATCACTATAACAGAACTTGATGGAAGGATAAAAATTAAATATGACATACAAAGTGTGACTTAAAAATGATACGTAATAAAATTCACTCTACTTGCAATCAAACTGAAGAGAAAAATAAGTGAATAATATTTCAAAATGTGAATATAATGAATAACAAAAAAACATCTTGTGTCTTAAACTTTTCATTTGATTAAATCTAAAAAATTAACTCCAATACATGGTGGTTATAAAATCCTGCACCTGGCTTAAAAGTGTTGCTCTGAAATGTCTGTGCAGACCACGTTGAAATTCACTGGGTACAACTGGCATGACATAAAAAGTAACTGCACAAAAAATCATTGCTAGATAGCACTGAGTGCACTCTCAACCCTATGTAAACACAGAAACTATGAACAGTGTTTACTTCATTCTAAACACCGAGTAAGAGGCACAAGAAAACAGCCTTAATGACACTCTACTACTGATTAGGAAGGAGAAAGCAGTCTTATTGAAATTCTACTACTGACTAGGAAGGAAAAAGCAGTCTTATTGAAATTCTACTACTGACTAGGAAGGAGAAAGCAACCTTAGTGAAACACTACTACTGACTAGGAAGGAAAAAACAGTCTTAGTGAAACACTACTACTGACTGGGAAAAAAAAGCAGTCTTAGTGAAACACTACTACTGACTGGGAAGAAAAAAGCAGTCTTAGTGAAACACTACTACTGACTGGGAAGAAAAAAGCAGTCTTAGTGAAACACTACTACTGATTGGGAAGGAAAAAGCAGTCTTAGTGAAACACTA